GAAAACATCTGAATCCTTGGTGTATGAGATGCATGTTTTTGGTCTTGTAAATGGTTTATAGCAGGTATTATAAAAACGGAGGGAGGTCAAGCCAGTTTTGATGCACGTCAGACTTTATTGCATCTGTCTGCAGTAATATTAGTCTTTTTGTCTCTAAATGTCAACCTCGTTCTAGATACAAGCAACCATTACCAATCCATGTCAGGCCTTCCAGTTTCATATAATAAGCTGAGATAATCATCATATTTCATCTTTTGCTCCATTTCTTCTTCTTCTTCTTTTTCTTTTTGTGTTTAAAACAGTTATTGCTACTTAATATTTTTGGGCAAACCATGATACATTTTAATTAAAAGTTTGGGGTAATATTTAAAATAAAAGAATACATGAAAAATGTATTCATAAGAATGTATTAAATTGGTCATTTGAAATAAATGCTGTACTCCTGAACAAAAGAACAACATTAATATATAAGAACTATTATTAATATAATAGTTCTTCTGAGTCCATGAACTTTTGTGATGAACCACGTGGTGGCGAACTTCACTAAGACAGAGCAAGCAAAGCAACACCTGTGGTACTGACCTGAAATACTGCAGTTGTTAAGGTCAGAAATTCACATTACACTTCAGAGAGTTACTGTAGACTAATAAAATGGCGGGGTATTCATTATTTTGTATTTTTTTCATTTCATGGTCTTACATTTGTCCTAATTCTAATAATAGTGGCAAGAAAATGACAGCTGAAAAGCAAAATAATTATTTTTGGTGGGCGTCTGACTGTTGATTAACATACCTGAGAACATTTCAAAGCTTTTCACGGTTCTTCATTAGAGGCAGAACTCACAAGAACATCCTCCTGTAATTAACTTGGTCACGAATGAGTCAGTTGTGACTCACGCGGCATATTTCTGAGTGCGATGCAGATCAACAGAGGAAAAGGTTGAAAGCCAAAATGTAAAAAAAAAAATTGAGAGGGAGAAAACACATTTTGGTAAGACCCAGCTAATTATTAAAATAAAGTAAATCAGTAACTAACTAACTAAATTAAACTGATTCAAAAGTGACAGTAAACACTGTAATAAAAACCTTTCTATTTATAATAAATGCTGCTCTTTTGAATGTTCCTGAAAAAAATGTCATGGTTTTCATACAAATATAAAGTGGAACAACTGTTTTCAACATTGATAATAATAATAATGTAATAAAAACCTTTCTATTTATAATAAATGCTGCTCTTTTGAATGTTCCTGAAAAAATGTCATGGTTTTCATACAAATATAAAGTGGAACAACTGTTTTCAACATTGATAATAATAATACATGTTTGATAATAATAATAATAGGTAATAATTGGCAATAATAAATGATAATAATAATAGTAAATCAGCATATTAGAATGATTTCTCAAGGATCATGTGTCACTGAAGTCCCGATGTACTTGCTACATTGTTAGAAGAATGGCATCTACGCTAATATTAGTCTGTTTCTCTCTTATTCCGAGGTCACCGTAGCCACCAGATCCAGTCTGTATCCAGATCAGATGGTCACTGCAGTCACCCGGATCCAGTACGTATTCAGACCAGATGGTGGATCAGCACCTAGAAAGAACCTCCACAGCCCTGAAAGACAGCGGAGACCAGGACAACTAGATGAGCCCCAGATACAGATCCCCTGTAAAGACCTTGTCTCAGACGACCACCGGGACAAGACCACAGGAACCAGATGATTCCTCTGCACAATGCGACTTTGCTGCAGCCTGGAATTGAACTGCTGGTTTCGTCTGGTCAGAGGAGAACTGGCCCCCCGACTGATCCTGGTTTCTCCCAAGGTTTTTTCTCCATTCTGTCACCGATGGAGTTTTGGTTCCTTGCCGCTGTCGCCTCTGGCTTGCTTAGTTGGGGACACTTCATTTCCAGCGATATCGTTGACTTGATTGCAAAGATACTATTTAAACTGAACTGAGCTGGATGATGAACTGTCTTTAACTGAAAAATGAGTGTTTACTATTGTCATTTTGCATTATTGACACACTATTTTCCTAATTAATGCTGTTCAGTTGCTTTGACACAATCTGTATTGTTAAAAGCGCTATATAAATAAAGGTGACTTGACTTGACTTGGGGTAATAATGCTGAAAATTCAGCTTTAATATCACAGGAATAAATTACATCCTAAAACATTTTCAAATTGAAAACAGTTATCCTATACTGTAATAATATTTCACAGTATTACTGTTCTACACTATTGTTGATTAAGTAAATGCAGCCTTGGCGAGTCTTTTTTCTAAAACATTTAAAACCCATACCGACCCCAAATGGTACCGTGTATCTTCAAACAGATCGTTTTAGGAGCTCTACAGAAAAAAAGTTCAAGAAAAAAAAATCCTCCACGAGTCCATAGTCAATAATAACCTGTGCAGATAATGGACATAAAAACACTGGGAAACGTTGTTTGGTCTTGTCAGCAGCACACAAGCACACAAAGCAAGGGAAAAAGCTCTTTACAAGAATAAAGTGCTCTTTGCTAGAGCAGAGATAATTCATTTGAAAAATGAATTAGCTTTTCATTTTTCAGCTGCATGTCAATAATCGACCTCACTTGACGATACTGTCAAGACCAATTAGGAGATATTTATTATGAGTTTGATCATTTTGAGGTGATCTTGACAGCAGAGGTAAATATCACACTGCCAGCAGCGACAGGGGAAATGAGCTGGATTTCCCTGCAGCTGTGGACAGAGTTCAGCCAATCAACAGAAATGTCACAGACGCTTGATGAAGAAGAATCGGCCATGTAAACTGAATCCTGATTATATTGTGCAGAGCGAGAGTCTGGTCATTCAAAATACCAGCAGATTTGACATCCGCAGACATTTATTGCCTGTAATTTCTCGGTTCCTTCCTGCTGGAACCGGTCAATAAAGCCACACACTCAGTGACCTTGGTTTATTAAATAAGAGTAATGTTAGTGCTCAGCCTTTGTTGTGGTATGGAGACTTTACTAATGTGAAATCAACATAAAATCACTCTTTCCACACAATAGGACAATAAATCTTTTTAAGAAATGGTCACTGAATGGTGATCTTCTAACTGAAGATGTTGGACTACATATTCATTTTATATAATATTTTCGAGTTTGATTATCATGGTTTTGTTATTTATATAAAAGATAATGTTACGTGTCTCTAGTATATTTAACTGTCCACTAAAAGACAATGAAGCATCGGTTCATTCATCATACTTCTTTTATATTCATTAGTGGAAAAATATCATTTAGGGGCATGAAAATAACAACACAAGCATCAGCATAAATTAATACATGCACAGCTAAGCAGCATACATGTCAAGTATGTCTGTGAGCATTATATTTCAATATTTTGTTGCTGCACATATTAATAGACAATTATCACCAGCTTCACAATTTGATTTCTTTTCCAAAGAAAAACACTTTCATTTTTTTTTTAATAAACACTTTAGTTAATACGATGCATCACAAATACACTACCGTTCCGGTGTTTGGGGTTGGTAAGCTTTTTAAAATATTTTTATGTTCACCAAGGCTGCATTTATTTGATCAAACATACAGTAATATTGTGAAATATTATTACAATTTAAAATATGTATTTTCTTATGTTTTAAAATGTTGCCAAGCTGAATTTTCAGCATCATATTATTCAGCAAAAAATCATTCTGTACTGCTTAATATTTTTTGCAGAAACTGAAACATTTTATTCAGATATGTTGTTACATTATAAACATCTTCACTGTCACTTTAATGCATCTTTAATGCATCAAAACCTTACTGACCCCAAACTTTTAAACAGTAGTGTACACAATTTGTACATATAAATAATGCTATTAATACTAAAGCACATTACAGAGGAGAAAGATAGAGGCATTTCCTTATTAAATTTGAAAAACAACTAAAATTGGGTCAAATATGTCAAGATACATACTGGGCACCACAAAACTATACAGCTTTCATCAGCATCATAGTTAAAAATGAAGATGAAATCTGTGACGGTAGAAGTCAGAAGCAAAGGTGCACATTCACCTAATTAGTGTAATTTCTGTTATTTAATTATACAAAAAAAAACGCATGAAGCATATGAAACATTTGTTAAGGTTTATTATTTTACCTCCAATCCCTTGTTACTATGAATTAGTTTTTTTTATTATACTAAGCGTTTAGTAATTTTGTTTTTGAATTTTTTTTTTACACAGGTTTATATACTAGTTTTTATTACTTTGATTTCAGTTTTCATTTAAGTTATTTTATGACAGTGTTCAACTAAATGAAAATGAGAAATGTTGCCTTGGCAACTAGATGAAAAAAAGTTCAAGTTTTTTTTATACTTGATTTCATGTTAGTTAACATTTACTTTATTTCAAGTTTTTTTTTTATGGTTTTAGTTTTAGTGAACTAAAATAACCCTGCCCTGCACTGAATTAATGAGCTTTAACAAACTAAAACTTCCCAATGCAAAACTCAAGTTAAAGTATTTTTCTATCTAGCCTAACTGGAGAGATTTTGGACAGGGCAGATCCTTATCGCCCTCCCTATCATCAAATATTGACAGAATCTTCATTTTTAGGTGAACTATTCCTTCAAAACCCAAGGACAATGTTGGTGTTTTTGGTGACATACATTGTGGTTGGCTGGTGATGCAACTCCACAACAGATAATTTAGTATTTTGCCAGAAGGAAGGGAGGAAATAATGTGCTAGCAAGAGCAAGAGCAAGAGCTTAACAACTGCTCATGGGAAATCTGCAGCTGAGCCTGACGTTAAAGAAGAGTTCAGCCAAAAATGAGAATTCTGTCACAGTTTACTCACCCTCATCCAGACCTGTATGAATTTCTTGCTTCTGTGAACCCCAGAGGGAGATATTTTGAAGAAAGCTGGTATCCTTATTTTAGTTCACAAAAAAATACAATGGAAGTCAATGGGAACCAAAACTGTTTGGTTACCAACATTCTTCAAAATATCTTTTTTTTTACCATCTAATCGCACTGCTAATTCTGGATGTCTCCTCGATTAGGTTAATGCAATACTTCTTCATAATATGCACATCAGTTTGGTGCTCATGCACTGCCGTCTGTTCTGAAATGTATTGTGAAAGAGTGCTTGAAAATATTGTGCTGAATCACGGATCTGAGGGCTTGTTTACTCGTCGCTGAACTCTCTCCTGTTTTACATTCACGTGTCTACATGATGGAGCAGGTGAAGCCGCAGCACTCTTTCAGCAGGGTGACACCTGTCTTGGTCACGTACGGAGACGAGGTCTGCTGGGCTCTGGACGTCATTCTCTTGTCCTTGGTGTGACCTGAATGAGAGCGAGCGAGAGAAATGCAGTGACCTTCTCTGAATCACACTCTCAAGCATCTCTGAACACCGTCGAGCATCAGCGCTGAGGTATATTCATACCAGAACATTTGCAAATATATTGGGTTTAAATGAATTTTGACAGCATTAGATGAGTTGAAATGATTGTCTGTGCACTGTACACAAATAGTTTTCAATAGTTGTAAATATATCTTGATTCACACTGAACTGAACTGTGGAATAGAGTTGGATTAAGTTCAGATGAATTAAAATGCGTTTACTTTGAGTGAAAAGCTCAGTTCATAAGCTTTTTAAAAGCAGCACTAACGATTATGAAATATTTCTATATTTCTGTGAGATGTTTCAAACTCTCACCACAACACTGATTCATATTTGACTGTGTTCTGTCTAATTTACAGTCAAGCCTTCCCACTTTCAGTGACATTCACGCACTTCTGCACTATTTATTCCGGTTCTGAACTAGCTCATTAGTTTTGAACTAAAAGAAAACAAATGAAGACAGCTTATTAACACCCTGAGAACAGAATTAACATTCTGACAATACCACAACATAAGCAGATTCCTTATTCATTTCTCTAGTTTCCATTTTCATTAAACTTGAGCAGGCAGTGAGTAAAACAATTAGGGAGATGCTCAAAGAATATATTATTATGTTAATTAGAGCATTCAACACTGAAAAACGGAGGTTTAAGGCCTTGGCCTTGAGCTCACAGCACCACAGTAACACACACATACATACATACTTTTCATGCTGCACCTGTTGGGAAATTTGGTCTGTAGGAAGTCAGCCATCTCTTTGTCCTCTTCTCGCTCTCTGAGTGGAGAATAACAGGCGTCAGGAAGGCAAACGCACAAACACATACAAATACATGAGTCAGGATACATTTTCATGTGCATATGCCATTCAAAAGTTTAGGGTCAGTAAGATTTTTTTAAATGTTTTTGAACGTCTCGTGTGCTGAAGTCTCTTGTGCTCACCAAGGCTGCATTTAAAAATACAGTAAAACAGTAATATTGTGAAATATTATTAAAATAACTATTTTGTATTTGAATATGCTAAAATGTAATTTATTCCTGTGATGCAAAACTGAATTTTCAGCATCATTACTCCATTCTTCAGTGTCACATGATCCTTCAGAAATCATTCTAATATGCTGATTTGCTGCTCAAGAAACATTTATTAATATTATCCATGTTGAAAACAGTTGTGCTGCTTAATATTTTGTGGAAACTGAGTTTAATTTTTTTCAGGATTCTTTGATGAGAAGAAATAGTTTTTCATTTACTTGTAAAATAAATCTTTTATAACATCATAAACATCTTTATTGACACTTTTGATCAATTTAATGCATCCTTGCTAAATAAAAATATTAATTTCTTAAACATCTTACTTACCCCAAACTGGCACACAACTGCCAAGGTTTGTTAAAAAAAAGCACATTGTTTTGCCACTAATTATTCATATACTGTCTAAACTGTATCAATTCACTAAAGCTATCATACATCATTACAACATAAAACGGAACCTTATTCTGAATCTGTTCTTACTACAACTTAAAACTGGTTTTTAAAGCTTTAGATACAAAATCATTGCAAATGAACCTAATTTGCAATCTAATTAATCACACTAAGCTTTCTGTATTTATATATTTTCACTGAGATTATATTCAGCATTTTTATAAAGCCATTGTTCTTGTTCAGTTGTTGTTTGCTCCCCACAATGCCACAAAGATTTACAATTTTTTCACAGTTCCTGAAATTTAAAACCAGACCCACACAAACAACTGTGAAGTGAGACACTGAGCATTAACCAAACATTCACACTCAAACACCAAACAATCAATTATTCTCTTAGCACATCGGTTTAGTGTTCAAACCGAGAGTGTTTGACATCTCTCTGTCTGTCTCTCTCTCTCTCTCTCCACCATCCATCCGTGTAATAGCTGCTTGTCATGTGGGTGACGGCGGCTCATTTATCCCATGAATAAACTGTGAGGACTTCATTGGTGTTGAGCTCTGATGCGTGCGTCACTCACGATTACTCTCACACACACACACACACACACACACACACACAGTCGTGAGGTCTTGGCAGATGGCAATCAGCCCAACCCATCGAAAAAACACATCTCTTTTCTTTTTCCATTTCTTTCTTGCCTGCAAATCAATCTCTCTGGTTTCTGAGAATCAAGCCGCTGGGACCATCTGTGAACGTGATGTGAGGTGTGTGTGTGACGGCTGTGGTGAGGCAAGCGTGGATTATTGGCTTCAAGTGGAGGGTAATTGGACTGCAGTATCTTCACAGATGAGGGAACAGCCACAAGAGGCACAAAACACATTCTTGGGGCCGACAGTCACGCATACTAGCTGGCAATCTAAAGGGTTGCGGCCCATGTTCCTGTCCCTGAAGGCCGGCGGCTCTTTAAAACTGACCTGAGCCTCTCAAACTCCATGTCGTCCACTAGAAAGTCCCGCGTCTCCACCAGCTTCTGGATCTGCTGAAGTAGTTCGTCCTCACGCTGTCTGTCCTTATTTGACTTGTCTTTGTCTGCAAAGAACATTTGAGCAAACGTGGAAGTAAAGGCATTTATAATGTTACAAAAATAAATCGATTTCAAATAAATGCTGTTCTTTTAAACTTTCTATTAGTCAGAGAATCAGGAAAAATTAAAATGCACCACAGTAGCCACAAAAATATTAAGTTGTATATACATATAAAATATGTATATACAACTATATTTATATATATATTTTTTGTACTAATGTTTCACAACATTGCATTTTTGAGCAATTAAATGCAGCCTTGTTGAGCAATAGACTTGTTGGTAACACTTTACAATAAGGTGTCATTCGTTAACAATAGTTAATATATTAAATAACATGAACGAACAATGAACACTGCATTTATTGCACTCTTTATTAATCTTTGTTAATAAAAATACAGTCGTTTATTGTTTGTTCATGTTAGTTCACAGTGCATTAACTAATGTCAGCAAACAAAACTTGCGATTTTAATAACGCATTAGTTAATGCTGAAATGAATATTAACTCAGATTAATAAATGCTGTAGAAGTACTGTTCATTCTTAGGTCATGTTAACTAATGTAGTTAACTAATGAACCTTATTGTAAAGTGTCACCGACTTGTTTCAAAAACAAGCACAAATATAGAACAAATGATTTAAATTTGGCAGCAGCTATTTGCAATAAGTGCAAATAGCGATAGATGCCATTTACACTACAGTAAGTGCAAACATATTTTCTTAGCGATAGATGCTATTTACACAGTGCAAATGGTGATAGATTCTGTTTACACTATGTAAAAATAGCAGCATTTTCTTTGCAATAAGTATAGTTATATGTAGCAGATATGTATTACATTATAAAACATTATAACGTATTGAGTGTAAATTATCATTTTTATTAAAATGATTAAATAGATGCTGCTTTATTGGGACAATAAATCCCTCCCAACACCTACCCTAACCTTACCCAATAAACATTTTATTATGAAATACCTATGAGGCACATTATGTCCACTTTTCGAGTATTTCCTTCTTTTTTTTTTTAAATAACCCATCTGATATGTAAGGGAGAAGAACAAGTTCGGCAAAAGGCGGATTCAAACTCAGGTCGATTGTGTCAAAAGTTTCTACATTCGTCATCAGCTAGGAACCTAGGTGTGTTATTTGATAGCAATCTTTCCTTAGAAAGCCATGTTTCTAGCATTTGTAAAACTGCATTTTCCATCTCAAAAATATATCTAAATTACGACCTCACTGTCAAATGCAGAAATGTTAATCCATGCGTTTATGACCTCAAGGTTAGAATTGAACTGCTGGTTTCGTCTGGTCAGAGGAGAACTGGCCCCCCGACTGAGCCTGGTTTCTCCCAAGGTTTTTTCTCCATTCTGTCACCGATGGAGTTTTGGTTCCTTGCCGCTGTCGCCTCTGGCTTGCTTAGTTGGGGACACTTCATTTCCAGCGATATCGTTGACTTGATTGCAAATGATTGCAAAGATACTATTTAAACTGAACTGAGCTGGATGATGAACTGTCTTTAACTGAAAAATTAGTGTTTACTATTGTCATTTTGCATTATTGACACACTATTTTCCTAATTAATGCTGTTCAGTTGCTTTGACACAATCTGTATTGTTAAAAGCGCTATATAAATAAAGGTGACTTGACTTGACTTGACATTATCTGAGCTTTTCAGCATCAGTGTATGCTACACATCATTTTTTTTAAAGCTGCAATTAAAACTAATTATCGGAGTTACTTCAGTCTTTCTACTTAAAAATGTCAGGTTTAAATGAATTTGTTACTTGTGGTTTCTCTGTAACTGTCAAATTTATAAGTGAAAATTGTTTCCTTTCTTGATAGCTTTTTTTAAGTAAATCCTACAGCATTTTTTCATTGTATTTTTTCAAATCGAAAACTGGAAATTATTTCAAAATATTGTCTTTTGTTGTGAAGACAGGAAGTCATTCTGGTTTGGATCAGCATGAGGTATGAGTAAATGATGATATGATAAAATATCAAAGTACTTCAAAATCCTGATCACAGATGTGCCAGAAAGGACCTGAAGGTCTCAGAATAAATGAACATCACTAGCACTGGAATGTGTTTCGCACGTGGGTTGGGATGGTACACAGTATAAGACATTATTATCTGCCGGTGTGGATAAATAACCTCTTCTGTGCACACAAGCTTTGTATGCACTTGCGAAATTAGGTTTCAGCAGTAAACAAAACGTGGTGCATCTCGTGCATCTCCTTGGAAACAGGAGACCTATAGTGAAGTATGTCACAACCATGTGCTGAAGACAAGCTGACGTGAAAGCAGGAGGAATGATGTTAATAAAGAACATGTAGAAATTTAAAGCAGTTGCATAATAATGGATAGCCAATCCATTTTTTCTTGAATTCTCTTATAGACTGTAGATGTTAGCTGAATCAATTTATTATACGCTATGGTTCAATAGTTCAGGGTTGGTAGGAGTCTTCATTTTTTTATGTTCAAAAAGGCTGCATTTATTTGATAAAAAAAATACAGTAAAATTAGAAATATGATGGAATATTATTATAATTTATAATGTCGGTTTTCTGTTTAAATATATTTTTAAAATGTAATTTATTCTTGTGATGGCAAAGTTTTCAGCATCATTACTCCAGTCTTCAGTGTCACATGATCCTTCAGAACTCATTCTAATATGCCGTGGGACTAATTTGCAGTTAAATATTTTGAATGTACTGAAGAACAAATAATATTACTTGAGTATCTAACGGACATGATGTTTGGTTTAGAACTGTTTAAAGCATCAGGGAGCTGCTCATTGTCTCTGCTCTGTGTGGTAGGAATTAAAAACAGATGTTCTTCACCACTGAGAATGGGATCGAATGAGGCTCAATGCAACAGCACAATATTATTGCTTAAAATTCTGGTACAGCATTGTTTTGGTGAACATACCTGGGATGGAAACCAATTTCTGGAGTTCTTTTTTGAGCCTTGTGATCTCCGTACACAACTGGATGTCATCCATCCTGAAAAATGAGGAAAAAATGAAGAAAATCGATGTAATTTAACCATCAGACAAAAACCGCAGTTTCTTTCTGTTATAAATAGTGCTGTCATTCGATTAATCGCATCCAAAATAAGTTTTTGTTTAATATTTTATGTGCGTGTACGGTGTATATTTATTATGTATATATAAATACACACACATGTTTAAATTTTATTTATATATATATATATAATATAAATTATGAATATAAATATAGACAAGTAAATATTTTCTAAATATATACTGTATGTGTGCGATTAATCTAATAATTAGTACTAATAATAAAATAAATGCAAAAATGACCTCAAAACCTCACAACGCTGTCTTCATGCTTTAAAACATTTTCCAGTCAAGTCAGAAATCAAGGTACCCAGCTAACAGGGAATGTTATTAGAAATTTGGCTGAAGTTCTGGCATATTTTAAAATTATGAAATGTTCTTAAAACATTAGCACATAATTTACACATCCTTCATAGAACTTTTTTTTCCGAAATGCTTTAGCATTTTTTATTAGCAAAGTTAATGTTACAGAATGTTTAGAAAACATTCAAAAATAACAATACCATAATGTGTGCAAAATTATCAAATGGAACGCGTTCGTTCAACATTTGGATAACCAAGAAAAAACGTTTAAACATAACAAAAAATGTATGCTTTTAACATTCAGACATAACATCTTCATAAATTAATAGAAATGTTCTTAGAACATATTTTGTTAGCCGGGTAAGTGTGAATACCATGATTTTATTGAAAACAGATTTCAAAATTCAGATTTCTGTTCAGCAATGAAATAACAGATAATATGTTTTTCTATATAGTATTCGCATTGCTGTCAAACACACACAAATAACAACACAAACACATATATTTGCAGTTGATGTTTAGCTCTGGCAGACACATATTACTGCCATAACAGACAAATCTCACTTGCAGGGCTTGTGACAGACTCCATCAGACGCTATTGTTGTAAATAAATGCAGTGCATCCCTTTATCTATAAATGTCCTCAACAATTTCCCCTGCTTTTATCTCATCTATACGCCTGTATCTCACACTCCTGCTCTGCACTGATGCTGGCTACACATTATTTGTGTTCAAACTGGTATTGAATGAAAAACATACAAGGAATGACAGTCAATGTGACACTTTCTCTGATTTTTTTTTTTAAAGGCATAGCTCATTCAAAAAAACTGGTATTGAATGAAAAACATACAAGGAATGACAGTCAATGTGACACGTTCTCTGATTTTTTTTTTTTAAAGGCATATAATGAATATGAATTGTCCAAAAAGAGAGTTTTGACAATTATCAATTGTGACCCTGGACCACAAAACCAGTCATAAGGGTCAATTTTTTGAAATTGAGATTTATACAACATCTGAAAGCTGAATAAATACGCTTTCCATTGATGTGTGGTTTGTTAGGTTAGGACAATATTTGGCCGAGATGCAATTGTTTGAAAATCTGGAATCTGAGGGTGCAAACAAAATCTAAATATTGAGAAAATTGCCTTTAAAGTTGTCCAAATGAAGTTCTTAGCAATGCATATTACTAATCAAAAATTAAGTTTTAATATATTTACAGTATGAAATTTACAAAATATCTTCATGGAACATGATCTTTACTTAATATCCTAATGATTTTTGGCATAAAAGAAAAATCTATAATTTTGACCCATACAATGTATTTTTGGCTATTGCTATAAATATACCCCAGCGACTTAAGACTGGTTTTGTGCTCCAGGGTCACAATTAATAATGATGATACATCTGTGTAAATATAACTTAATAGCAGGAATATTGTTCTTTTTTTTTCTTTCATGTAGCTTATACCTTCATTTCTGTGTCTAAGAAAATACCTAGTTAAAATGGTAAAATAAAATGACATAAAATGAATGTTAATTACCCCATAGTTACCTGATGACATTAAGATATTCAATATGATCAATGTTGTAGAAAATAACTTTGAACTCATGCATATGGTATGTGTTATTTTTTATTGGGTCATGTCAGCTTTCATAGCCTCAGCTGTGTTGCATTGCGTTATGGGATACTTACTTACATTTTCTGTTGATGTCTAATGTCAGGAAGCATTATTATAGATTATGGACTTGTATTTTGTCCAGAAGCAATGGTTTAAAGTTAAAACACCTTAATGATAGATTTGTTTCTTACAAACATGGAGCTTTTCACTTTATAAAACATTAATTGATGGACTGGAGTTACTTGTGGATTATTCTGATGTTTTTATCAGCTGTTTGAACTCTCATTCTGACGGCACCCATTTACTGCAGAGGATCCATTGCTGAGCAAGTGATGTGATGCATGTAGATGTAGTACATCTTGGATGGTGAGTACAATTTCAGCAATTTTTCATGTTTGGGTGAACAATTCCTTTAACCTTGTATGTAAAAGAGCTACCTCAGGTTCTACCATAGTACAAAAACAAACCCGACTCACATATATCTGAGCTCAGACTCTTTTCGGACCAGTGCATCCTTTATCCTCTCGATTTTGAAGAGCTCTCCCTCGATGTCCTCCACAGTGATGGTGGAATCAGCCATGGACACCACATCCTCTTCAGCTGTGATGAAGAACACATGAACTAAAAAATACACTATTATATTAAACCATAGTATAATATAATATAATAGATATGAATGGACATGCATGACAGTATTCCAAAAAAAAAGGGCAAGCAAACAATGAACAAAACTTTGTATTAGAAACTGTATGTTTTGCCAGTTTGTTGTCTTCCCCTTGAAGATAAAAATAACAGCATCATCACACATTTCTACAGAAGCAGGGCTTCTCTAATCTGGAATCAACTAACAAGCACCCTGGTGCTGTCCAGTAACATTTCAAACCAGGCTGAAGCTAAGGAGTTGGGTGACGGTGCTGCAGCGTGTGTTGTGTATGATGCTCGTCACCGTGCTAATTGGGCTCATGTTATTATTACTGAACTCTGCATGAATCCGAGGGTAGGCGAGAGCGTTCTGGTCACTCTGTGACAGCCCAACATCTTTTTAATCGCATGTAGCGTTGATTCAGAGAGCCAGTGCTCTATATATGCGTGTATGATTACAGGCAGATACTAATTAAACCGAAAGAACATCTAAAAAAACCCCAAAAAACTAAACAGGTAATAGTGTAAAACATTCTGGCACTAAATTTCATATTAAATATTATAAACTGTCTTTTAGATTTGTTTAGTTTGTCTGATGAAAAATGAGTGTTTCTGGATTATTGTGATGTTTTTATCAGCTGTTTGGACTCTCATTCTGACGGCACCCATTCACTGCAGAGGAACCAATGCTGAGCAAGTGATGTAACGCTACATTTTTCATAATCTGTTCTCATGAGGAAACAAACTCATCTACATCTTGAATGGCCTGAGGGTGAATACGTTTACATTTTTTGGTGAACTACTCCTTTAAATAACTGTATAAAAATCAAGATAAAACAAGGTTCCGCTAATGTTTTATTTGTGTGCACAGTCATTGCGCATTGATTTTTTACAATTCCACTTCTCAATTTGATGTCTGCATTTCAAAGACCTTCAGCCTTGAGAAAAACAGCAGAATTTTTTTTGCACCCTAAAAAGCGAGGCAGTCCGTATCCTCCGATGACTCATTTGGCTTATCCTATGATGCGTTCAACAACTGCAATGCCTCATAAACTAAGTTCTGTCTCTATGGCAACAACCTGGGCAGTTTTACACAGTTATTGGATTTCAAAACAATGGGATTTACCCCCAAATCCAGTAGCGTTCTTGTTAAGGCCACTGCAATCCCTGGTGCAGATCGACAAAGCAAAAACACTTTTCACTTATTTTACACCTATGCGTGTAAACATGAAACTAAAATGAATATGAATTATGTAATACTTCATAATGCTATGCTATTCCACATCTATAATTACAAATGTATACAGACTTATATTACAAATATTGTACTGTATGTAATATGTAAGTGTCTCTCTGTATGGGGTATTGGGGTTGTTCAATTTTTTTCATTGCTGTCCTTTTCTAAAATAACAAAGCAAATCAGGTAAAGAAAACTAAGTTAAAGGAACATTACTGTTATTATGATTTTTCAGCACGTAAGCTTAAAAAAAGCATGTGTAAGCACCCGGTTCATTTCCTTTGGGTAACATATTCCATCTTTATTAAAGGAGTCTGCTGTTATAATAGACGATACATATCAGGTTATCATGATTTAACGGTCCTCTATGAACAATATCTTTCTGATATAACAGACAAACCTGATTTATATTTGATCTCAAACAGATATAGTGATCAAAAGGTCAGTGTGATATTAGTTGATTCATGACTCACTAAGAGACAAAATACAGGAATATCAATTTAGAGCAGGGATTTTACAACTGGGGTCCAGGGTGCCACAAGGGGGTGCCATGGAAAAAAAAGAAAAAAAAAAACAACTAAATATGCATGTAGTTTTGAGGAAAAATGTTTTGCATTTGTTTCTAAATGTTAACATCGCTTTCTTTGTGATGCACGCTTTCCTATATTCTTATATTTCTTTCCAGATAATACAGTTTTAATAATTTTTTGTTTGAGTTTTAAAGGGGTCATATAATGCGATTTAAATTTTTCCTTTCTCTTTGGAGTGTTACAAGCTCTTGGTGCATAAAGAAGATCTGTAAAGTTGCAAAGACTAAAGTCTCAAATCCAAAGAGATATTCTTTATAAAAGTTAAGACTCATCCACGCCCTCCTAAAACGACTCGTTCTAACACGCCCCCACATACCTACGTCACAATGTGGGAAGATTTGCATAACGCCGCCCAAATGTTCACGCAAGGAAAGAAGGCGTAACTTTTATTCTCACTGTATTATTGTTGTTGCCGCCGCCATGTCGTGAAGCCACTGTGCTTCGTTGTGAACGCGAAACTACTTTGTTCGGTCTTCCAAAAGAGGACGATATGGCTTCGTCATGCCTGGAGCTGATCCGTGCTGGTCCAGCCCGGGGTCGTCACATGTGGTTGCCGCAGGCATCACAATATGGTAAGGGACATAACATTTCCGTCACACACTTGAGGAATTCAGCCAATCACACTGGATAGCTGGCCAATCAGAGCACACCTCGCTTTTCAGACCGATGAGCTTTGTAAAAATCAACGTGTTTCAGAAAGGCGGGGCATAGAGTGGAAACAATAATGTACAGTATGTGGAAAATAATGTGTTTTCTGAACCTTGAACCGCATAAACACATTTCATTACTCCAAATAATGTACTTTTTAGCAGCATCATATGACCCCTTTAATACAATGGTATATAAAAGTATTTTCACAGGATAAAAGGGTTTGTTTACATATATATCATTCAAAAGTTCGGGGTAAGATTTAAAAAAAAAATTTTTTTACAAGGCTGCATTTATTTGATCACAAATATGGTAAAAACTGTAATGTTGTGAAATATTATTACAATTAAAAATGTTTTCTATTTGAATATATTTTAAAAAGTAATTTATTCCTGTGATGGAAAAGCTGAATTTTCAGCATCATTACTCCAGTCGTCAGTGGCACATGATCCTTCAGAAATCACTCTAATATGCTGATTTGCTGCTAAAGAAACTATTATTATCAACGTTGAAAATCGTTGTGCTGCTTAATAGGTTTGTGAAAAACATGATACTTTTTTTCAGGATTCTCTGATGAATAGAAAGCACAAAAGATCAGAATTTATTTGAAATAGAAGTCTTTTGTAACATTATAATATAAATGTCTTTACTGTCACCTTTACTGTCCTTGCTGAATTGATCTGAATAAAAAAAAAAACTTTTAAAAGACAGTAAACATGTATTAGCTGGGAACACTTAAAAAATGTTTTAGACAATCGATTTAACAAATTACACATTTTATGTGTAGAGTAAAACGAGTGGGTTTGGAACTGAGATGCAGTGAATGCAAAAAATAAAAGCATTCACAGGAAAACTAGAAATCCCCCAGAATCCCCTATTTAAAGGTGAAGCGTGTAATTTATATCAACACACACAGCATCTTTAAGGGGTTCAACTTTATATCTAGTGATTAACAGGAAACCCAGGCGAGTTCACTGGCTTACAGATGGTGCTATCTGTGTTTTTCCTGGCGGCTGACACTGACACCTTCCTTAGACTCAGAGCGAACACACTGTTCTGATATACGGTACATCTTTTATCCCTCCATCTCTCCACTTCAATGCTTTTTCTCTCTCGCTCTCTGCCCTCGGAAACACTATAAGCTATGAGTCACCTCACAGTGCTGAGCAGATATTGGCTTTTAATTGCCTGACAGTGAGAAAAGACGTCTAAACAAACCATATCCACCAAGGCAAAACAAAAGGGATGGAAAACGGGTAATAAATCAAGAGCAGGATTATGGGTTTACCCTGATGTGGTCTGGTCAGTGTGCTGAGACGTGTGTGTGTGTGTGTACGTGAGTCAGTGTTTCAGATCAGTCCTGACAGATTTATTCACATGTGTCAGTTCACCAGAGACTTGCTCTGTCTCACACGTGGAAAACTCTGCAGGACTGACAGGAATTCATAGCTTCATGTTTTAAAACAACAGTGATACTCTGACAGGGAACAGGTAAGAAGTCAGAGAGGATTCAGATGGAGATGGAAGAAATGCAAGAATGTGAACTTGAGGATTCTTAGTATGTGAAAAAAGTAAAAACATGTCTGAAGATCAACTAAGCCAGTGATTCCCAACCAGAGGGGTGTGTAACCCAACAGGAACTTGGAAACATTGTGATTTTGCTTTGTGAACCCTATACAATGATGTATAAATGAGTATAAATCAGTCTTGGGGGGTGAGTGTTATGAAAAGTGTCAAGAATTGTCCATCTTTACTGAAAACAAAATATAAAATAAAATAAAAGCCTATAGTTAGCCATTTGTGATTTTGAACTGTGAGATTATTTTCATTACAATTAAGCACTTTTAAATTCCCTTTTAATTCTCAGTTATTTATATACTTCTCAGTTCCAATAATAATAAAAATAATAATCATTAAATTAATGAGTATTAAATATATTATTAAATATAATTAAATATAATAATTGTATAATATTTCATAAAATACAATAAATGTATTATAGATGTGTGTTTAATTTGTATAATGACATGGGTATGACAGAGGTATTACAACGTGAAGGTGATTTATGAGGACACTTTCTGTGTCCCTGTAATCCAAAAGACTTAAAAACATACTAAATTGAGTTTTTAAAAAATCTAAAAAATGCAGAAAGTTTCCTGTAAGAGGGTAGGTTTAGGTGTAGGGTGATAGAAAATACAGTTTGTACAGTATAAAAACCATTATTACTATGGAGAGTCCCCGTAAACCATAAAAATCAACGTGTGTGTGAGTGCAAAATATTACTGGTGATATCATAAATATTCATGCTGGTCAAAGCTGGTCTTCTACTAGTGTCTATACTATAAAAAAAACCCTTAAAGGGTTAGTTCACCCAAAAATGAAAATTAGCCCATAAATTACTCACCCTCAAGTCATCCTAGGTGTATATCTTTTGCCACAAGCACCAATGAACTCTAACCCTCTGACGGACTCTCCCACTCCGC